TATCAATTTTGTTTATCTTTTCAAAGAACCAGCTTTTACTTTCATTTATTTTCTGTATAGTTCGCTTATTTTCTATTTCATTTATTTCTGCTCATATCTTTATTATTTCCTTTCTCCTGGAGTTTTTTGGAGTTTTTTTCTATTGCTTTTCTAATTCTCTAAGGCATGATGCTAGGTGATCCACTTGCCTTCTTTCTGTCTTCCTCTTATGAGCACCAATTGCTATGAACTTCCCTCTTATGACTGCTTTAGCAGTGTCCCAAAGATTATGGAAACTTGTGTCCTCATTGTCATTGGCTTCCATGAATCTTTTGATTTTCAGACCTTATTTCATCAATAGTTGTGTAGTCATTCATGAGTAGGTTATTTAGTTTCCATGTATTTGTGTATTTTTGAGGCTTTCTCTTGAAATTAAACTCAAGTTTAATTCCATCATGATCAGAGAAGATGCTGGATATAGTTACTATGCCTTTGAATCTTTAGAGACTTGCTTTGTGCCATATGATGTGGTGAATCTTCGAAAAGGTTCCATGTGGGGGTGAGAAAAAATGTATCTCATGGTTTTTGAATGGAAATTTTTATAGATGTCTGTTAAGTTCATTCAATTTATGGTATCATTTAGATCCTTTATCTCTTTATCATTTTTTTTTTTTGTCTAGATGATCTGTCTCAAAGGGATAGTGCAGTGTTGAGGTCTCCAACAATTACTGTGTTGCATTCTATCTCCCCTTCATTGCAGTCAACAAGGAGCTCAACAAGTCCATTCAGGGGCCCTTGACAGGTAGGGATATCCCGAGGCCCATGCTGTTGAGTGCACCTGTTGCAATGTCAGGAACCTTTCCTGTCTGTGGTGAGTTCTGTCTTTTTCAAATTCATAAAGAGAAAGAGATTCTGGAAATAGAATATTATTTAAAGAAAAATTTATAAAGTTGCCTTATTTTTCTTGTCTTTCTACATGTAGGATTTTTGGCTACTCTTAAACATTCTTTGTCTTACGAAGATAGAATATATACCAGTGGCTGACAAGTTTAAAATAATCCAAAAGGAAAAAAGTCAAAGAAACATTCAAACAGAGAGTATAGTTAACACTGAGTAATCAAACTGTCTAATCCTGCAATGGATTTATCTTCCTGATAATTGGATGATTAAAGATCACAAAGAGGGATCAGCAGATGGCATAATGGTTATATTGTTGCTGGACTCACCCAGCAGCTTAAAACTCATGCTAGGCACATGTGCATGTGTGCCCAAAATTCCAAGAGGAGAATGGAGGAGAAAGGATTATGGCATGGCCATCCCCCATGGGGGTTTGGGGTGGATAGTTCTCACTTATTGTCTCTCTGTCTCTCTGTGTCTCTCTGGTGAGTGCACATGCCCTATGGCAAAGATATCTTTTAAAAAATCATGAAGATTGCTGATGAACAGGGGCGTTAAGGAATGGGTATCGATTGCCAAGAATGTCATAGGCCTGAGATAAACTGACTGATTTTAGCAATTAGGAGCTTGAAGATCTGAGTCAGCTAAAGATATCCCCTGGACAGTATTCCACAGCTAGAGAAGGTATGATATGTATATTAGTTCTGGAGGAGGCTTCAAGGTGAATCCTGTATCATTCATGCATTTGTTTCTTACGTGTTTTCCTGTTTCAGCACCTACCATATATTGGTCATTGCACTTATCACAGGCAATGCAGTAGTGAGCAGAATACAACTCCTGCTCCCAGGGAGTGGGGGTGAGGAGAAAGGAGGGGTGGCAAACAGATGACCAGATTTTTAAGATGCTATAAGAAATATTACAACACAGATAAGCTTAACGTGTAAGACAGAAGACAGGATAGGCATCAGTACAATCAAACACAGTAGGGAGGGAGTAGAAATTAAAGAAATTTTCCCCAAATAGGTGACATCTTACCTGAGATCTAAAGGATTAAGTAAGTTATCCTGGCAAGGAATGAGGAACAAAAGCATTATAAAGATCAGGAGCAGCATCTGAGGAGACCCAGACTTAAGCAAAAAATTTAGAGTGATACAGTGAGGTGGGTATTCTACTTTGACTGGAAAATACAGGCAAAGTGGGGAGTGAGGAAAGATAAAGAATGAGAAACAAGGGGCCGGAAGGTCACATAGTGATTAAGGTGCTGCACTCCCACAAGGCCAACCATGGTTTGAATCTCAGACGTGGTGGCTTGAAAATCACAGCAGTAGCATGTGCATCATGTATGCCCCAAATCCCAAGAGAGAATGGAAGAGAAGGGATTAAAGTGCAGCCATCACTGCTGGGGGATGATTTCTTACTTTCCCTTTCTCTCTTTCTGTCTCTCTTGGTCAAGCATAAACCTGTAAAAAGAAAAAAGGAAAACAAAAATCAGAGATAACATATTACAGGCTTGAGGCTTGAGGAGGTCAAGTGACATTGGTTAGGTTGAAAGAGTGATTATCCATATGATATTCAACTTATCAGGATGATAATAAGACTTCGGAAGAATCCAAGTCTCAAATTCTTAGATGAATGATGTGGAAAGACCAAGAGACTGGTGAATGACATTGGTCATAATGATGATAAATAACACTTACATGAGCTTACTCCATTCTGGCTCTTCTTCTAAATACTTTTTATATCTTGAGTTAATTAAACCTCACAATAACCCTATATATGGAAGAATCCAAGTCTCAAATTCTTAGATGAATGATGTGGAAAGACCAAGAGACTGGTGAATGACATTGGTCATAATGATGATAAATAACACTTACATGAGCTTACTCCATTCTGGCTCTTCTTCTAAATACTTTTTATATCTTGAGTTAATTAAACCTCACAATAACCCTATATATTAGAAACTGTTATTAACTATCTTTATAGTTAGCCATTAAAGAGTTTGATGTATTTTAAGGGAGACTGAATAAATTACAGAAAGAAACTAATGTGATCAAGTGTTTTATAATTATAACTTTCATACCAATGTAGAGAATGGCTTGAGAAGAAGCAATATTTCTAGAGAAACTAGATATAAGTCTATTGTATCGAAGAGGAGAATGAAGAAGATTCAGCTGAGGCACTAGCAGGTAGTATAAGAAAGAACATGTGTGACAGCTTATACAGAATCAGTTTAGGGATTGATTGGATATGGAGACAGTAAGTTATTAAGGATGATGCCCAGATTTCTGGTTAAGCAACTGTATGGATGATGATATTATTTATTTAAATACGGAAAAAGAACAGAAACAACTTGTGGTAAAATGTTGAAATATTTTAGAGTACTTTGAACTTGAGATGCCTATGGAATATCCATATAAGAATGGATATAGAAGAGTTTGGTATTTAGAAGGGTATCAAGGATGAAGATAAGCATGTGGCAATATTTAATATCTAGATAATAACTAAGTCATAAGAATGGATGAGATTATACAGGGGTGGGTATAAAATGAACAGAAAGGAGGGTGAGGATGAAACCCTGAAGAACACATAGCATGTAATGGAAGGGCAGCAGAAGAGTCCACAAACAAAAATAAATATAATGAGGTAGGAAGAAAAGAAGTGAATTCATTTTCAAAACTACAGGGAATTATGATAGAACAAAGGGAGTTACCAAATAATCAGATATTTTAGAGAAGTAAAAGTAAAACTGGTAAGAGAATATTGGGTTTATGTCCAAAAACTCCCTACTGATCTTATAATGAGCAATTTCATTGGAGAGGTCAGGATAGACTCTGCGTTATAGAGCATTACCGAGTAAATGAGGGGCAACATGTATAAATTTTAAAAAGATGTTAGGCTAGAAGGAGAAGAAATAGAGGGTAGCAGTTACAGAGAATGCTATAGAGTTGAGGCAGGTCTTTGTGTATTTTATGTCTTTAAAATCTTAGAATGGGAGAAAGTTGAAGAAGTTTGCAATGATAAGAGGAATGTGCCAATAGAGATGGTTGAAAATACTAGGGCTGAGGTTGGGGGGAGGTAGCTATTGAGTCATCAAAAAATGAAGCAAAAATGTATGCAAAAATATGTCACGACTTTTTCCATGACCTAATAACCGAGAGAGGTGTCTGAGGACTATCGCAGCATTAGAAAGATTAGCCTCTGCAGGACAAATGCATTCTCCCACTTTTTCCAGGAAAAGGAAAAAAAATGTAATAGATTTCTAGTTTAGTCCAAAAGCCAAGGTTTTGGAGTTCCTATCTGATGCTTTTTCTATAGTTTTATTGAGTTAGATGTGAAGATTAGCTAATGAGCTTGACAGTGGAAGGAACAGAATAGAGGATTTGAGGAGTGGAAAGGTTTAAAAGAACCAGTAGGATAATTGGGGAGTGGACTGCCCAGAGAGAAACAGAAACATCTGTCAAGGAGTGTTGAGGGGCCAGTTTAGTTGAATACCTTGACCTTTTTAGTTTATGCAATTTAATTTAGCAGTCTTCAGCAGCCTTGGTGCAAGAATGAGGGTAGAGTATTGGCCTAACTTCAAGGTTGAGGTTTAGCCAGAAGAATGTGTTGAAGGAAATTAGGAACATGGACTTGGAGACATTGATAAAGGGGTGATAGGTGCTTGATATGAGACTGAGGCTGAACGGAGAGGGGAGCAAAGGTAGGAGGAGGTTAACAGGGGGGAGAAAGAAGAATTAAGGCCTTAGAGGCCCAGATGAGGTCAGAGATCAGATAACATAGAAATCCCTGATTTAAAAACAGGAAAAAATTGGAGATTGTATTTTAAAAATAGGATTTTTGTGTTCAGTTTAGTATTTTACAAGTGAAACAATTCTGCATGATAGTCAGGTCCTTATGTCTTGGTAAGCTAAAGGAGAATGGAGCAGAAGCCACGGGATCTGCAGAAGTTGAGATGCTTTGCACTAAGACTTGGATAGGCTATCTACATGGTGCTGAAGTCTCTCAAGGTGATAGCAGCCTTGCAGTGGATGGAAGTCTGTGGTCTGGTTCTCAGATCCTTCAATGGATGGATGATGGGAGGTTGGAGAGTAAACATAGTCAGGACTTGCAGAAGATAGCACAGGGGAGGGTGGAAGAGTAATGGTCTGGATGTGGCATTATGGGAAGAGCTTGCCAACTCCCACCTCTCAGCCTGAGTGCCTGGAGTGTGTACACTGAGCAGCAGCCATTTGAGAGGGGTAGGGGAGAACTGGTTTTTGGAAGGATAAATTAGTTTTAAGTTAAGACTTCCTCCTGTATTAAAACTAAAGGTTTAGAAAAGATTATTTAGCATGTGTCAGGAGTTTCAGAGCACACAGTAGAAGGTAGAAAAAGTCTCAGAGAGTAAGGGGATATGCAGGAGATGGGCTCATGAAAAAAGGATAGCACAGGGACCAGCAGATGGTGTAATGGTTACATTGCTGGACTCCCACATAGCCCATCATGGTTCAGGTCCTAAACCTGGCAGCTTAAAACTCATGCCAGGCGTGAGTGCATGTGTGCCCAAGATCCCAGGAGGAGAATGGAGGAGAAGGAATTGTGGCAAGGCCATCCTCCCCGGGGGTAAGTTCTCTCTTTCTGTCTCTCTGGTGACTATGCACTCCCTGTAGTAAAAATCTGAAAGGAAGGAAGGAAGGAAGGAAGGAAGGGAGGATGGCAGGCAGGCCGGCACAAAGTGGTGATGACAGAAGTAGATGTGGGTGGGAGGGTTTGTGCCTCAAATTAGCAAGGCCTACTGCAGAGAGCTTAGTGTGCCTCAGTCTCAATATCTGTTCTGGTATTTTTCAGGTCGTACACAGTCTTTGTTCTACACACCTCCTCCTGCACCCGAAATCAGAAGTGAAATTGTTTATTGTGCGAGCATGACATCTGAGCAAAATGATTATGAGCTCTGTAGACCAATGGCTTACAAGGATGTGTACAATCTAGGTAAGCATTTCTGCAGGACTTTTTTCACTAAAGTTTGTCTGTCACACATATAAGGCTAGTTCGTAGTGGCAGCAAATGGATGAAATCCACCCTCCCTGATGTGGGACTGTCTCATTTCCCCACGAGCAGGAGCAGTGTGGAGCCTGAGTATGTTCTTGAAGTAAGATGGGCCTCAGATTGCTTCTCTGATCCATGCTCAGCTGAAGGGCTAATCTTCAGTACTTTGCTCTCTTGTGGCTCTCTCTACCCTGGAATCTGTTTGAAAAACACTAAGTAGGAGGTGATATTTGCCCACTTCCTCTATTTGACAGGGACAGCACAGCCTCTACAATGTAGGGCCCTGAAATCTGCCACCCCAGGGGTCTGGCTTCTAGCTGAACACCCTTTGCCTTCTGAGTTTATGCAGCTTGTCTGCAGGCTGGACCCTCGCTCCACAGAACACAGCAGCCACCCTGTTTGGGCCCCTGTTCTCTTGATCATCCTTCACAAGCTGAGTTTGAACACAGGTCTTTGGGATGCTGTCTGGAGGCTTTCCTTCTGTGCCCCTCTGCTGCAGCCTTTGCCGAGACTCAGGAACCTCTCTCAGGTATGCTAAGGGGCCAGTAATGCTGTCATTTTTCATTAGCTTCCTTTTTTCTCTACAAAGACTTTGAAGAGAACGGTCTTGTGCAACTGATTTCCCTCCAAAACGCAAATGGTTCCTGGCATCTGAATGAAGATCTGGCAAAGGCCCTAGGGATGAGTTTGGAAGACATGAATGTTGCTTGTCCTGATGAGGTGAGACATAAGGAAAAAAAGAAGCAAGAAACACTCTGGGGTGTTTTTTGTTTTGTTTTGATTTTTAGACTTTTTTTTTTTTTGCTATAGGGCATGTGTACTCATCAGAGAGAGATAACAAAGGAAAACAAGAAATCACCCTCCCCACCCAGTGGGAATGGCCATGTTGTAATCCCTTTTCCTCCATTCTCTTCTCAGGATTTTGGGCATGCATACACATGTACTTGGCATGTTTTTCAGGCCACTGGGTCTGAGATTTGAACCAACAGAATTGGCTGAGTGGGATCCAGCACCTTAACTACCACACCACCTGCCTGCCAAAAACATGTATGACTTTGTTTTGAAGAGGCGAGATCTGTTGTGAGAATTGAGACAAATCAGAGTCCACCTAAGAAAGGAGAATGTAAGGGTCATAGACTAAGTTAATTTCTGACAGGTATTTTGAGTTATGTTAGAGCAAGAGAACATGAAATTAGTGGGCTAGCTAGTGGGAGTTGTTGGTTTAGAGTGACAGCAAAGGGAAAGTAAAAATCCTCTCCTACTTTAGTTATATTTCCTGTGGCTCATCCTAATTATATAGCGGATATTAATTGGTGATTGCTCTGTGCCAGACACTGGATAAGCACTTAGCCCTCATGACATTATTCATCCCTCACATCAATTAAATAAGGAAGATTCTATTCAAATAATGAAAAGGACAGTTTATAAACACTTGGAAGAGAACAGAGGATCACAGAGTTCTAGGTTAGATTCACTGAAGACAAAACATGTGAGAATGCCATTTCCTTCTCTGATATGGTAACCAGGCCAATAAACCAAGAGAACCTAGAGCTCTGGTCCATCTGGACTTCTGTAAGGAATTTGGAATATTTTTATGATGACTGTATAGACTAAGTACAACTAATTGAACACCCATAACTCTGGAAAATGAATTGATTTTAAACTTTAAACAGATGTTTGAACCCACCAGGCTCTGAACTCTTTGGAGACCCAGATTCAGATGAAGATATAGACTAACACTTTCCTATTCGTAGGTGACAAAATGAAGAAATAAAGTATTAACAAGAGAATGAGATCCCCGAAGGCCTCCAAGCATTGTGTTGCAATTTTTACTGAAAACAGTAGCAACAAAAACATTTGTAGGTATAAAAGTCAAGGACTATTTTTGGTTCTACATTCCCACCTTTACAAGTAGTCAAGAGAAGCAGACTCACATCAAAGCCATTGCACATGACAGTCAGAGGTATTAGATGCCTGGAAACCCGTGTGAATCATCATATTTGATGAGAGTGCAGCGGGATGATCTGATAGCTACTGTATTCCTAGGCCATGGCTGTAGAATTTAATAAGCACATTTACCTCCAGATGGGACCACTTAAAAGAGACATATTTTAAAAATCATCATGATACTTTCTCTTGGACTAGGCAAGTCCAAGAGATTCTCAATGATGTGATGTAAACGGTCTAAGAGAGAATGAAAAGAACTTAGAAATTTAATCTGAAACAAGGCTACCCAGAGGGAACATGAGAGCTGTTTCTAAATTATATTTATATTGTTAAATTGATGTATTATTTTCAGTTTGTTGATTTATTCCTTCCATGGAGAGAGGGCTCCTAGTGGGGTCTTGGTGTTATGATCCAGCCACCGCCATCCTGGAGCACTGGCAGGTGCACACATCCTGCACATATGGGAAGTCCCTGCAGTGTTCCCTCGGACCTGTTTGCAGATTTCAAAGGCCATGATATAAAAGAGGAATTTCCCTTGGTCTGCAGGGAAATCTCAGAACTGAAGCTGGGAACAGTGGGTAAAAACTCAGGAGAGACTGTTTTCTGCTCTTGGGCTAGGATTTTTCTATTGAGTAATCCTTGTAGTATGACTAAAATCCAAATATCTGGTCTTTAGTTCCACTTCCATCATTTGCTAGAAGACTAAATTTGGCCAAATCATTTCAATTTTGTATGAATCC